AAGAGAGAAAAGTCACTAATGCTGTGCATTAGGACATTTATTTGGAAATGTGTGAGCACAGGTAATCAAATGTTACAAAAGGTCGTATTCAGTCACTTTACATTAGGTGCTATGCAGTAGTAAGACATATTCTGCTGCTGCTGTGTTTTTGAGGTCCCTCACAGTATCACCTGACCTGAGGGGATTCTGTGTCGAAGTCCCTAACAAACTTGTACAAAATTAAATCATGTGTGTCTTCCTGCCTCTCCATTCAGACCATGCAGGCTCATGCTGCAGTGTTCCGTACCGGCTCTGTCCTGAAGGAAGGCTGTGACAAGATGGATGCTGTTTACCAGACCCTGGATGATGTCAAGACTTTCGACAGAGGTACTACACCAAGTTGTCTCCCTGTTTCTGTGTGTATTTACAGATCCTTGTGCGTCTGTCTGCAAGTTGCAGATGTTTTCCTGTCTGGCTTACTCTAAGTGTTCTCCTTTTTTCTTTTCTTCCTCTTCCTCTCCAGGCATTGTGTGGAACACAGACCTGGTGGAAACATTGGAGCTGCAGAATCTGATGCTGAACGCCGTCCAGACCATCCACTCTGCTGAGCAGAGAAAGGAGAGCAGGGGAGCTCACGCCAGAGAGGACTTCAAGGTATGTGTGAACACAGTCAATCTGTGTTGCAGTATTCTAGTTTCTTCATTCATTATTCTTGCAGTTTTTTCCCCATGCTTCTCCTTCCTGTCACTGCCTGTACTCTCCTTCTCTTTCTCCTTTTCTGTGCTCACCTTCCTCCCAGTGTTTGCTTTTCTTTTTCACTATCTGTTCATTTCTTACCTGAGTTTGTGTTTCCTATTGTATCGGTAGATGATTGCAAAAATCATGAAGAAAAAAAGAAGAAAGAAAGATAGTTGATCACAGCCACTAACCCCTCTAACATTATTCCTTCAACTATATTCCAGGACCGTGTTGATGAGTATGACTACTCGAAGCCCCTGCAGGGTCAGGAGAAGAAGCCATTTGAACAGCACTGGAGGAAACACACTATGTCCTACGTCGATCCCAAGACTGGCAAGGTATAACCTCGCACCCCCTCCTCAGTGTGCGCTCTAACTATAAAGGTTCATCGTGTCAGTCATATCTGATATACCTTTTGCTTTTGTCCAATCACAGGTAACCCTGGAGTACCGCCCCGTTATTGACAGCTCTCTGGATGAGCAGGACTGCGCTCACGTCCCTCCCGCCATCCGCTCTTACTAAGAAGATCTCCTCTGCTCTCCTCCCCCTGTCCCCGTCCCTTCCCCTCTCATCCATCTTACTCGATTAATGAATTCTCATTTAACTATTTAAGAAGATACATTTTCTATCTGTAATCGAGATGGCATTTTGGGACAAATTATTATGCTTTTGGTTGCACAGTTGTATCCTTTTAGAATAGTAAATACAATACTGTCTTGTCAACTTCATCCCTTCGTGTCACGTTCCTGCTCCTCTCCTTTTTGTTTTGATTTAATCTGTGTGCAGCAGATAACTTCAACATGGTTGTGTGACCTCTCACACTGCGTGAGCTGGTTTTGTAAATATCATAAGACAAGTGAATTACTAAAGATTTTTCAGCCTCCAGCTGAGGAACAAAAACAATGGAGTATAGTTAATGTGTTGCACCACTCGAGCTTGGCTTTTTGTGTGGACACCATACTTTCATTTCCTAGTCTTGCATTGCATTTAATGCTTCTTGAATCAGAACTTCTCTCCTTTGGCTTTCTGAAGTGAAGAGATTGTGGAAATGATTGTAATGTAAAATGCACCCATCACCATCAAGCCTCAGAGAGAAGTTTTAACTATGTAAATATTGCATAAATGTACAATAAACATGGCAACATATACTGTATGTACTTGTTAAAGTATAAGGTAGTCTTTTCTCACTCACTATTGCCTTCAGTTTTGAATAGTTGTTACTTCTTGTGATACTTCATGTGTGTGGTTTAAATGATAAAATACATATATCTCCTGTTGAGTAGATAAAAAGTTGATCGACTTAATCAACCTTAAGCTTATCTATAGTTCTTTACTATAAATGTTAACCAAATGAAGCAGCTTGAATCTATTTATCAACTGTTGGAACAATGACTTCTTTCTACAATTTGCTGTTGTTGTTTTCTCTGAGGGTAAATTCCAGTAAGGGTCATTGAAGTGCACAGAGCTGTTGGGCTTGTTAGGTTGCAGGAGAGAAATGCTCCTCCAGAAGTTATGAATTCTGAGCCCAAACATCAATGCCAGCTCTTAAGTGGTGCGAGGGAAGCAGCGATACGAGTGGTTTCATTTGAAAGAATGTTGCGTGTGATGTAGAATTAATGGCCGATTCACACTAACTGGAATTTACCACATTGCCTGCAACTCCACAAATAACTTTGACATTTAGACTGAGAGATTTGCTCAGTGTCGTCACTTGAAGTTTAGAATAAATTCACATGCCGTGCTTCTTGTGCTGAATTGTCGAAACGGTGACTTAATTTATTTGCCTGTTTTAAAAGAAAAAAGTTTGAGTTCATTTTCTTCTGGTTTTGCCATTTGTACTTATTTTCACATGTTCAATAAAGTGTAGACTATGCATAGAAACAAAAGCTCTTGGTTTGTCTTAATCTGATGGGCAAGGGCTGGGCAAGTCCTCCTTCCTGTATGTACATCAACAACATTGAGTTTTGCTCAGATTATTTCAGAGGTATAGAGTCATGTCATAAAGTCATTATATTGTCTATTTTTGTCCACTGGGGGGCAGCAGAAGCACATTGAGCAGCAGGGATACATTGCTATTAAAAAAAAACAGCATGTGTGTTGGTACTCTGTGGATGCCCACTTCTAACAGCTGTTAGTCATCTTTCCACAGCAGTGTTACCGTTTCACATTATTCTGATAAAGAGCAGGGAAATGGTGAGTGGTGCAGTTCATCTCTTACAGCTCACTGTGGCTGTTTTTCCTTACAGGAAATTCCACAGAGAAAATCAATAATCACAAAACAAACACTGAAGTAACCTGAGCCTGGCTCATATCCTGACCAGCTGAACCCAGGAAGGTCAGAACACACTTTCTATTGGCACAAGGGAACGCACTGGCAGGGGAGCAGGAGAAAACAACAGACAGATTATTTTTATGCAACACCCTTTTTTGAATTGGTTTCCAGCTGAAACATGGTCATCATATGATTTTATGAGGCTACGTTTTATTACAAGTGAATAAGGTAGCCTACCTGCCAGATAAAAACTTTCAATAGCAGTTATTATTATTTGATGTTTGTGGTTTCATGTGGTTAGAAAAAAGCAACAGTGTGGTTGAAAGGTGTTAAATACAAGAAACATATTTTAAGTGTGTGTCCTGGTTAATTATTCGGCAAGGATGTACAAGCCTATGATAAATACACAAGATTTTTCAAAAGGAAACATCTTATTCAGAAACTACAAACTGTCCTCACATAACATTGATCATCAAATGAAAACTACTGTGGCTTTAACCACTACTCTTATAAGAAAGCAAACCTACTTCACAAACGCTGACACCTGAGGCAGACGGATTCCTGTAAATCTCAACAGATACAAATGTCAAAAAATCAAACCTTGCCAACCACCACACCTTACTCTTTGTTGAGCAGTTCACATCATCAGAGGCAGGGACTCCTGCCTGCTCAGACAGGCTGTCCTGGATCATTTAAGGTTGACTGTTATTAATGGCTTCCGGGGCGGATGATACGGGCCTGCAGAGAATTATTAATCACGAACAACTGCACTTTCACTGAAGCACTGAGCTAGAGGAAGAAGAAAAATCACATCCACAGCAGAAGACCAATGCCACATATGATGGCATTTATAGCCTGAGCAGTGCTTGACCCTAGATGGGCTTTAAAACAGTGTCGACTATACAAACACAACTTCAACAGAAAACACCAAAGATCAGCATTGATCTCAAGTTCATTGTTAGAGTAATAGTGTAGACCATGGTGATGGCTGATATGGCTGTAGATGAGCATGTAGAGAATGAAGAGGAGACACTGTGGAGGATTGGGAGAGTATGTTTATTTGTATTTTTCTTCCAAATTCTTGCAGGATGTCCAGTTGTGTCCAAGGACGCAATACAGGTCAGAAGACTTCACCAGTATGTGTGTCAGTGATAAAATGGCATGTCAAACTTTGCACAGTGAAATCCTAGAGGAATATTACCTACAGTAAGAATGATGCAGGTTTGAAATTACAAGGTCACAGGGAGGGATGGTGGCAGGGAGAGGAGGGGTCAAAAAGAAGGAAGAAGAATGAGTGAGTGAGTGAGGTAAAAGAACAGGAATAAGCAGGGAGATGGGGATGGAGGGAGGGAAGGAGGGAGGAGGAGAGTGTGATTACGTAAAATGGGAGAGCAAGTAAATGGTGGGGATGTGAGGATGTGGCTGGGAGAGCAGGAACCTAAGACAAACATGTACCGTAACAGCCTTGGAACACTTCCAGTAACTCATAATGACTCCCCAAACTTCTGACTATATTGATATTTCATCAGACCAATTCTTTACAGGAAATCAGATTGACAAATGACATGTCTCAGTGTGGGAAAAAAAATCTGTATTGACACTAAAACTATTGAAATGGGTGCAGTGTCTGCACTTTAAACATGCTATTACTTAAAACAAAGGGTGTTTTCAATTCAACATAGCAAAGTGGTAACTCTCCCACCTTATTCTCTACATGATACATCTACTGTACCTTTGAAAGAGCAGTGTAACAAAAATGGCACGGTTACAATGTGAGGCACCAGTATTTGAAAGCCCATAAAGAAATCATTTGCATGATTACAGATAGTATATCTACCATGTAGAACATACTGTATTTGACAGACACAGATTAAAGCTGCAGTTTTATCTATTCCCACTTCCTCTCTCGGCTTTCCAGCAGCAAGATAAATGTTCCTGCGACAAACCTTGTTAGGCTCTGGCACTGGTCAGACAAATAATGATCCAAATAGACCAGACGGCACATGGTTTCTCTCTCAATATACTTCAACTTTATTTATAAAGAAATTTGGAATACAGTAACAGCTTTCTTTTTCAGCTTTGGTTAAGAAAAGAGCATACAGACATTGCATGACAAACAGCACCCAGGCTAGTAATAAATAACACACCACAGCTTTCATAACGGAGAGCCAGAGCCAGTGACTGAGCAACTGGCTGTGTCAACCATATTGGCTCCACTGTAGCGTGTTGCTAAGTTTCAGCTGATTTTGTGAGAAGCGGCGCATTCCTGTTCCTTTCCCTCGGTATTGTGCACTCTCTGATCAGAGACTCATTGATGACAGACAGACTCACACTTTGCTTTTTTTCACTTGTTCAGCACGAGCCTCACAAAGCCTATTTTTGGGCATTACTTAGTTTTTAAAATGCTATTCTTTATTAGCATAGTTCTAAGAGGGTTAGCGGGTGTTAGTGCATATTTACAGCAAACAATTCTGATGAAAAGGCAGCAGTATTTCTCTCATCGTACAATCAGGCAAATCTCTTTAAATTGCAGAATTGACAATGATTTGCAATTTGAACACAACATGTAAAAATCTCTTTGGATTATACTTGAAGTCTGCATGTGTGGCCTCTTTAGGCATCAGAGTTGAAAAACATTTTTCATAAAAAAAAAAAAAACATGTATATTTCTGATGTGTGATAACAGAAAGCAAATCACAAACACAAAAAAATTTGCTGAAACATGAATCTTTGGAAAATTGCAGTGGCTTGGAGAGTAATGGATTACATAAAGAACTTTTGCGGTCTCTTTACATTAAGTGGCCAACAACTTTTAAAAATAATATCAATAACTTTTAAAGGTCTTGTAGCTAATCAGATGACTCCAGCTTTACAAATGTCCCAATAATAACTCCTTCTGATGGCCAGTGATGTTCCTAATCTGGTCTGATTATCTGATCTAGCGTATGGGGACTACAGACATAGGAAAGATGTTGAAACAAATTTAGCTGGCAAAGGCTGCCACAACCACTATGTAGACAATGAGGAGAACAAAAGACCCGATACCGAGTCCCAGGGCCACATGGTTCAGTGTCCTGGCCATCCTGCTGCTCTGATCTGCCGCGTTCCGGTCCCCAGTGTGGTTGGCTTCACGAGCCTGAAAATGAGAACAAATATTAGGAGATAGACTGAAATGCTGTGGCAATAAAAGTGCACCACAATAATGGGAGGATTTTCCATAAAAGGAAATACAAAGATTGTTTTATTAACAAGACTATGTCAAAACATAGATTACACAACAATTAGTTCCGACCAAGTAATTTGATTGGACGAGAGGCATTAGATGAGTGCTGATATAGAGTGCAACAGCACTGGGACTTTTAAATACATGTGTTACAGGTGTTATATTAATTGTTCTATATTAACTGTCTTAGATTGTAACAAACTCTGCAAAAATGAAAACATTTTCAGAAATTGAATTAAATGCTGTATGGTCGTCTGAAGAGAAGAAGCCTGAATACTTCAGCGCACATCTGAGGTAATGTGTAGACAAAGTAGCAAGCTAGTGTGCACTGTGCAGGTCAGGAAAATGATTATGTGTTGCTTAGCAACAGTCTAGTATCAGTCCAGTTGCGGAACTATTTGTGTTGGCGTTGCCAAATAAATGAAGAAATAAACAAACAAATCATAATCTGTTCTTACTTATTTAACTTATAGTTAAATGACTGAATGACTGAATCACAGCCATGCTGATATTCAGTACAACATCACTCCCTCTCGCGTGATATTGCTTAAATAAGGCTGGACCTTGTATGGTCAGTGTGTGAAAATGAGGACGTAGTTGAAAACTGTTGTGGAACCGCTGTAAACAACTGACATCATCGCGTCCTATTTGCATTCTGCCTTGTGTCAGCTAGTTTCAGCCTTTTATCATTTTGCTTCTCTCCTACTCTCTGTGCTAGTATATACAGTATTTTAATACAGCAGAATTCACAATAAAGCTGTTGTTATTTACATGTTTTTCTGTTTCTGTGGTCAGACAATGGGACAAGTTTCAAATAGTGACTGAAATGCGGCCCATTAAAACTGCATGTTTACCCTTTCCAAGCTGCTGCTCTGTTGCTGCTAAAATTCTAATTTTATAACCACAACATCAAGAACTATTAATTAAAGACAAAGACTATACAGTGACTTTGTCTATATTTACTTTTAAAATGATCACTCAGAGAGAAATTTAGGAGCAACAGAATATCTTTCGTATTTTGTGTTTCACAGTCTCTGTCTGTTATGGAAATTGAATGAAAATCATCACTAATAAACACACAAAACACAGTGGTAGATGATGATGATGAAAAATATTCTACAATATAGTGAAATTTTCACTTACACAAGCAGAGTGACAGCAGAGATTCCCCCAAACAACAGTTTTATATTACACCATTCAAGAGAACAACGAAACCTCTGTCCTATCGGCTTAGCTGACACTAACCCATGACAGATCTATAGCCAATATCTTTAAGCACTTGTCCCCTATGGAGTACCCCCATACTGACACATACCAAAGAATACTTGCACATACAGCAATATAATTACCAGTAATACTATAAAATGAATACAAAATATTATAAAAAATTATAACCTCACAATAGAAAAATAAACATATTCCTCCATATTCTATAGAATGACGTCCTAGCATGGATAAAATGCTAACTCATAATTACAGATATTATATAAGGATGTTATGTAAGGATCTTTTCATGGTCTTATGTAAAATATTTATAAAGTATCTGTGGCTCCATCCTCACAGCAATGCATTATTTACATAGGATATTGTCCCAATCCACTGTCCTTTACCATTTAAATGCAGCTAGAGTAAGATTTTCTTTATTTTATTTTAATGCCGTCTAGACTAGTAGATGTTTTAGCTCATTTGACCTGTATATATTTTAAGAATTAAATAATAAATAACATAACGTCTGACTGTCTGATGTATGAACAACTTTTGCATCATCTCAAATGTTAAAGAAAGCTAAAGCCAGAAGAGGGTTAGCCTAGCTTAGCATAAAGACTTTGAAGCATGAGCACAGGCCAAGGCTGGCTCTGTCCAAAGGTAACAACTCACTCTTGATAACAATACTAACAATAACAATAAAAAGTTAATTAGTGAGTTGCAGAGGTGCTGGTGGGCAGATTTTTTTTTTTTTTTTTTACCTTTGGACAGAGCAAGGCTGTTTAACCCTGCTTTTGGTTTTTTATGCTAAAGTAATGGTCTCCTGGCTGTAGCTTCATGGTAGCTTTGTTTGCAGACCCAAAAAGACATGCACGCACACACATACACGCACGAGCACACACACGCATTGAAGCAGAAAGATCCATGAATATTTCTGTTTCTGACCCTCTACGCACTGCTTAGAGGTCAGCTGTTGGACACTAGCCTGAGCTGGTTTCAGTGTCTTCTTAAGGGTTTTTTAACAGGGCAAGTACTTATAGGATCTTAAAGGATCATTTCATTTCAGAGGGAACCTTGCGACCACTATAACTGTTTGACAGTTGAATATCAGAGATTAAAAATATCTTTACATATGGTTCAAAGAGTGGTTGTGTTCAGTGATCTATGATGCTGTACTGTTTGCTGTAAAACAACTGTACTCTTTTAAGATGCAAGTCACATTACTCAAACTACAACTATTACAATGAGTCAAAGAGGAAAACAAAACCATCTGAAAAGCTTCACCGCCGTTGTGAATCCTATGAGCAGTGCACCTTCATCAATCAAAGACTAATTCTAGGAAGTGAAAGGTAATTTACAACTGTCTATAAAACCAGCTGTACAGTTATACTGAGTGGCTTAGCTCTTAAAAGCCATTATCACAGATGAGCATGTGTGTAATCTTTATAATTTCCCCTCTACACCAAAGTAGCTGAAATCTGACAGCAGTCAGAAACAGCCCAACTCTGCTCTAGTTTAAAATATGTATGCCACATTTTATCAAGTAAATTCTCCACTGAATGCTATAATTAGTACCAAATTACATAATTTTTTATAGGGGACTTATGGTAATTATTAGAAAAAATATGCATAACTCCCTTTAACAGGGAATTCAAGGGAAGAGAGACAACAGCAGAATTGCTGCTTGGATGCATCTTTATACCCTGCTAGCCAGTGTCCCTAAATTGTATTATACAGATTGATGTGCTATTGCTTAAATTGTATTTGATGCTTATTGGTCCAGCCCTCTTGTTGCTGCTCTGGCAGCCTGTCTATCTTCATTCCTGTGAGTGGCTCTGTCTGGTTGCCAGTCTGCCTGTGTGTGGTTTTCTGTCTTCTTCCTGTTCATAAAATCAGCCTGAGTGACTGTGAAGAGCAAAGAGAGGGGGCTGATATTTGTGAGAAAGTTGCACCAAGCAAAACTGAATAGAGCTGACAGAAGAGAAGATGCAGCAGATATCAAAGCCTGCTGGGCCTTTCTCACATACAAGAAGACAAAAAAGTCATGGTTGCAGAATAGTCCAGCCTGTTAACTCAACGTGGCAAAATTCAGTGCTGGATATCAGCACTGATACCCTTATTTGATTCAATTCACAAATTCCAGAGGTTCACTTTGTGTACAGACAAGGCAGAAAGTCAAAGGCTGCTCGCTAATTCCTCCGCACTGTTCATATTGACAACACATCAGCCTGATGTCTGCAGACAGCTGCTAGCTGTTCTCTGTTAGCTCTCCGGCAGGGACACACTGAATAAAATAGAGCCCATACACTGCTGGTCAACAAACAGAGCTCAGATCAGTGTGCAGAGCTTTTCTCAGTCTGTTCAGTCAGTTCGATCTCTGGATTTGCTTCAAAATGTCCAGAGTCGATTGACCATCCTGAACCACAACAGTCCCCCTGTGGCAGATCCACATATAGACTGTAATTATCAATTTATGGGACTGTCATGACTCAATGTGGCCTTATGTAAGCCAGCTATCATCCATGTTACTCTTTAACTTCAATTAACATTTTTGTGTACGTTGTAAGAACTTGTTAACCACTTGTTAACTTGTTAACCACTGCATACACATAATATTTAGGATGGATGTAGATGTTTACTGAGAAAATGAGACTGATTTTAGATTAATTGGAAAATTGACCTTTTTTACACAGGTCTTGTAAAATTTCTGTCACACTCACTGCAACTCTGTCTGTCTGTCATTCACTCCACACTTTCAACATCACTTTAACCATTTGCTGGAACATTCCATGATACCTCTGCAAAACATCCCCCACCCCTAACCTTCACTCCCATGGTGACCACACACTCAACTCTGAGCCTCTGATTGGCTGATGGCAAAATCAAAGGGGGAAATGCATTCTACTCTGTGACACTGCTGTCTGTACCTCTGGTTGAAACACATGTACCTGTTTTCATACTAAAGACAGTTATACACAGATGCAGAAACACAGGCTGTGTGTTCTGTGGATAGTTCTTAGCTAACCACGGCCCAAGTGCTGTTGTTTACGTAGCCTGAACAGGCGTCGCCTCTAGGCTATCGTCTATTTCAGGGACGCCTGCCTTTTCAGAGTGAGCTCTGTGTGATTTTTAACTTCAAAGGTCCATTAGGCTGGTCTTTAAAATGCCCCATCTGGGATTCATTACAGTCTGGTTTTCTATGCTGAGGCCCACCCGAGGGCACCAGCTTGTGCCTGGTACTTGCCCTCAAAAGAAAAAACACACTACATGTTGTTTACATGTTGCTGAGACTCTGGATGTATTGAAACATTGACTGTGGCAGACCAGGCATCACAGTGACTCATTGCTGGGATGAGCGGGTTGCTTGTTTCAATTTAAAGCTGCACCAATAAATATTTTTGTAGTCATAATGGATCGAATTACTATATGTAATGTAGAAGGGGTCGCACGCAGTGATTAACTCTCGAAATATTATGACCTGACTATGGAGCCTTTCAGTGTGTGTGCACCTAATGACACATAGTTAGCAACTAGAGAGTGAACATCGTGGAGCATTTAGCAGCCAATAATTAATATTGGATGTAAATTCACTAGGACACAAATCAAAATCCAGTATTAAGTCCATGTCATGAATTCTAGTGTTGTTCAATATCTGCTTAATATGTAAATAGGCGACTGTATGCTGATACGACAGCCATAAATTCTCT